AATATCACACATTTTAAATAATTTTGATTGGGGAAAGAGGTACAGGTATGTGATTTAACTTGATCATGATATTTAGCAGCGTTTTAGTGATATATTGGCCTAATTGCAGGTAATCTTAGAGCTATGGAATTTTGGTTTTAGAGTATAATTATGAAGCAAGATTAATGACCCATGTCTGTTTTCTGTTGGGGAACCTAAAGTGTCTTACATACAGTAGCTCTTTTATCACTTTCTCAAATATGTCTTAATTAGATTAGAATGTGGATCATTCTGCCAAACAGAAAAATAGCAATTAAGATTTGAACAACTAATTCACTTCTGAAAAGTCCTTAAGTACTTTTTCCCGTGTTAATTAACCTGTAATCTGAAGTTACTTTCAGAGATTACTAATCTAATTCTGGGAGCATTAACTAAGAGAACACTAATCAGATGCTCTAGAATAGTATCATTATGTCCAGGTAAAAAACTAAATAATCTTCCTAGTATTCCATATTTTTGAACATTAATTATTGTGTTTATCGTTATGTAATTAAACTATGCTTGGCTGAAACTTTGTTATTTTGTCTTCTTTTCTTAGCTTGACACCGTTAAAAGTAGTCTTCAGAATATTAAAGAAACTACAAATGATGTTGTGAGTGCAACTAACACTAATAACCCAGAGAAGAGCATGCGAGTCACTAAAAATAAACTGAGGAATACACAATCAGCAACTGAAAATCCAAATGATGATATTAGTGTAGAGGAAGATAAACAAGGAAAGCCAAATAAAAAGATAATAAAGACAGTACCCCAGGTAACTGCAGAAATGGAACCAGAAACTTCTGAGAAGGTGGAATCTGCACATCAGAAAACACGTACAAAGTCACAGCCAGGTGTTGATCATCAGAAAATTGAGACACCAAATGAGGGGAGAGAAAATAATAATTTAGAAGAAGAAGAAGAACTAATGCAAGCATATCAACTCCAAGTAGCTGAAGAAATGGCAAAGGAGATTAAGAAGAAAATAAGAAAGAAACTGAAAGAACAGTTGACTTACTTTCCCTCAGATACTTTATTGCATGATGACAAATTGAGCAGTGAAAAAAGAAAAAAGAAAAAAAAGAAAGTTCCAATTCTGTCTAAAGCTGAAACAAGGTACATTGATAAATGTCTTCTTTAAAAAAACACTCTATTATTTTCAGCTTTTGAGTGTTATCTGTAGTTAAACAGAAAATTCTTAGTTTTTCATTTGGAGACATTGCCACTAAGATAATAACAGCTAACCTTTACATAGCTCCTTACTATGTACTAGATGCTTTACAGGAATTAACTCATTTATTTCTTGTAATAGTCCTATGAGGAAAAGTATAATAATATTATCATCCTATTTTGCTGATGAGGAAACTAAAGTCACAAAACTAGTAAGAGGCTGAGCCAGAAGTTTGGCAATCTAGCTCCAGTGTCTCTACCCTTAACTAGTCACTTATATCTGCTTTTAAAATAATAGAAAACTAATTACTTCTCCTTTTTTGAATTATAAATTCTTGTTTGGATATATAAATAG